GGGGGGGGTTACGAGTAAAATTGTCATTGATAATACTTGTACAGTACTGTACATTAATTAATTTATAGCTCGTCCGTCAATTCTGACGATGACCAATACTTCCGCAGAGTAGAATACATTATGTATTTCTCCAGAGAAATAGAATGGTTAGAAGAATTAAAGGTTCAGGTTATTTGTGGCTTCTGCTGTGGCCGATGAGGCCAATTCTGGCAGAGAAAAGTTTGCCACATTTTGAACATTTAAAAGCTCCACTTCCGCTTGTGAGTGTGTGCAGCTCGGGGGCTTCTCTCTTGGTTTCCAACCTTTCTTATTCGTGAAATTTCATACCATTTGCTGCTCACTGTGACTGCTGCTCTCCAGCTGGATCTGTCACTGTCTGTCAGTTGAAAAAAGTAGTTGTGATCAATGCTAATGAATGTGATGAATCTGACATCGATCCTGTGATCACAAGGTCAAGTTCTGCCCACCCTCCTGCAAACGTAAAAAGAATTTACATCGTAGAAATTCTAAATCCAGCAGAAGGTGGCTTTTTCCCACTCTGTGAGTAGACCAGACTTGCTCCCCAAACTTTCACACCGAGTTGGTCAACATGGCAAATTCGGAAAATTTGGTCAAAAACACAAGTCTGTTATACCGGTATTTCAAAGTAACTTACATTATTTTTCTGTTGTTGAAGTCTTGTTTTGTGCACCAGCATGCATGAAAGGGCACGCAAACGTACAAAATAGATAACGAAAATTACAATTTGTTTTTAAAGGGTTTTTTTTTTCTCCAAAATTTTGACCCATTAGAAAAAAAAACATTTAAAAAACTGTTCGAGCTAGGTCTATGTTACAAATGTCTTTTGTTTTCTTTCTACAATATGTTTCATTGCATTTTTGCATATCAAGTTTCGTCGATGGGCGGTAAATAATAAGGTCTCAATGCATTTTTGAAATATGTGTCAAAACGCTCTGCATTTTTCGGATGGTAAGCCAAAAAGTGTAAAGTGTCTGGCAGCGATTGAGTCAACTGTCTGTGATAGTAACCTCCAACATACCCCC